ATTTTATGTTATTAAACTGATAAACTGTTTTACATTAACACAAGCTATTTGTATTTTAAAGACAACTTTCTGTTTTATTGTTGTTTTATAGCTTTTTACAATAACAATTAAATACTCATTAAAAACGCGTGTTTTATCTTCAGCGTGATCGTATTAAATAGTTTTCTATGACTAATTAAAGTGGTTTAAATATTGCAGTGAGGGATCCAGGAATTTTTGGTGGAGGATGTTGAAATATTTTTGAATTTTGTACCATGTTTGCGTCTCCTAAAAAAAAAAGCAAAAAACAAGGTCCTCAATTTCTATGATATTTTCAAGACTTTCAGTTTCTGGTGGGGGGGGGGATGCATACCCCATCCTCCCCCTGGATCCGTCACTGAAATATAGTAATGTTTGCTTTTTACTCTTATTTTCTTACTTTTACTGTTTTAAGTATCATGTTAAGCAAATAATTAAACAATTAATTAATAGTATTAATACATTATTTGCTCGTTACACTGTAACTGCAACTTAAACTTTAAATTATAAATTAAGCTGTAAATTATAGCAGTGACTTACGCTATTTTAAACTCTGCCAAACAAGAAAATCATAAGATAACATTTAAATATGAGAGATAGCATGTTAAAAGATAACAATTACGTGCTAAAGAGACAGTTTTATTTTAACGCAAGCCCCTCCCCCCATTACCCCTCATCGGCGCGAGCTTTAAAAGAGAGGGGGAGGGAGCAAAAAAATTTTTTTTTTCGCAATTAGATTTTTTTGCGTTAATTCAAGCCCTATCGTAATTTAATTTCTAATAAAATGTCTATTTAACCTTATCAGTTTGAACCAAAAAAATATAGCAAAATTAACATAAATGTTAATTTAACTAAAACATTTTACAATAATTATTTTTTTTATCAAGCGAAAATGAGAATAACTGTCACTTTGGAAACCATAAAAATGGCTGAAATAAATTTATTTTTGTACTAAGGAAATATTTTAAATAAACTTTCATGTGTCTACATCAATACTCATTTCTTAAAAACTGACTAAAAAGAGTTTAAAATTTGACTTCTATTCATTTTTGGCCGTGGAATAATACATAAATAAAAATTTAATTTGGCCGTGGAATAATACATAAATAAAAATTTAAAAAAAATTTTAATATACAAATATATTTTCTCAAAATGCTACAAAACTTATTCTTGTTAGTAGTTATGTGTTAGTTAAAAAAAAACGAGTTTACTTTTAATTTTAATTACCAACTAATACGTTTGCAATAATGACATTTTGTCTACTTTGTTTAATTTGACGTACAAACGTTAGTTTTTTGAGGCACTAGAGTCAATAAACTTTGGACAAGACGCATTTTATTTTTTAATCGAAGAAAAGCGTTTTTTTGAAAATTAAATTTGTTAGTGTGTGTTCATTATTACATTTTAGAAAAAATAATATACATCAAACATTTTTTTTTAATGCTCTTTCATATGAGATCATATCTTTATAGCACTTAGGGATCCCTTTAAAACACTTTTTATATCAAGAAATAATATTGAAATATAGTTTTTAATAATTAAAAAAGGCATGCAAAAATCTGAAGAGATTCATTAAAATATGTATTTAAACCTTTTATCTAAGAAGTGACAAAATTGTTTATATAACATTAAACAAAATCTTTCAAAATGTAATACTATTAGTAATAGTATTACATTTTGGCATGCTCATAGAAAATGTATAAACTTAAGCAAAAGAATAGGATAGAAAAAAATAAGAACATATATTCAACATTTATTAAGCTCATGAAAAACAACACAGTTTTAGATGTCAATAAGTTCTATATTAATGTTTCTCAATAAAGAAAACAACTAAACTTTAAAATCATTTGACTATTCTACTTTTTAAAAATACTCTATGTTAATATAAAATTCTTAAAAATTATTCAGCAAAACACTATCCTACCATACCAACAAAATGCAAAGTAAAAATGTTTTAGCACGAACTCGGTTCCGTAAAATGGGTTTTTCGGCATACCTAGTAATATGTTTTCAAAATGAAATAAATCAAAATATCTATAATAGTCATTCCAGAGGATTTATTTTTGTCAATATATTTATGTATAATTAACATATTTGTATAGAGCTTAAAAAGAAAAAAGGGGTCTTTCAACTTTAGAACTTAATTGGATCCAAAGATATTGCATTTTTTCTGCTGGAAAAGCTGATGATTTTTTGACAAAACACCTTGTCCTTAAAATCAAGGGCAAAAATCAAAATAAACTATACACAAAGGAATAAAAACATAAACATAATTTCTAAACAGGTTTTCCAAGTACCATTTTTTTCAAGAAAACATAAATAAATACTTGATTTGATTACAGGAGAATTTGATTAGAATTTTTTTTTTTTTTTTTTGATTAAAATGGACCTAAAGTTTTTAAACCCTGAGAACTTAAAAATTATGTATAAATGTTAAAAAAGTTCCCTATTCCATTAGATTCCTTACCCTTTTTTTTTCTATCTATACGGAGTATAGATAGAAAAAAAAAGGGTAAGGAATCTAATGGAATAGGGAACTTTTTTAACATTTATAGAAAAAAAAGGGTAAGGAAAAAAATAGTGGCTTAAATTGATGTAAACCTTTTGTTAATTTTAATAGCTTTACAATATTTTCCTTTCTTTTTTACCTGAAGTTAGAGGAATGTATAAAGAAACTAGAGAAACTCCATTAGCTGCTGCCCATGCCCCACAATCAATCAACAAAACAACTTTGCAAATCATTTGCATGTCTGTTGATATTTTTTTTATTCTTTACAAGAAAATAGACATTTTTTTTACGACCTCTTGGAATCATTTCTGACGTATGTTTAAACAATTGACTAATATATTGATAACCTCAACATTTTCTTAAAATTTTAAATTCTGAAGACTGTTGCTGACTTTTTGCTGTGGCACTACATTTTGGTCTCTGGCATTTTCTGCTTGTTTCTGTGAATATTCTTCTATTTCATCCTCTGATATACCTGTTTCATTAAAGCTTAATGTGATCATTTTCATTGGCCAGTGGTGCACTGCTTCTAAATAAAAAAATCATTATGAGTTAATTGTGGTAAATAATTAAATGCGATAGTGGTGTAGTGGTAGAGCATTTGCCTTATAAGCTAGAAGTTCCCAGTTATAATCCCACCACATCCCTACAACCCTCAACTTGTTTCTCCACGCAATGGCCCTGTTGGTCAAAGTTTTTATTTTGGAGTTAAAGATTTGGGAGTTGGGTTGTAACCACAATTAAGATAGCCTTTTTGACTGTAGTGGCCTTTATAGCCTTTGGAAAATTTTTTTTATTATAATTAATTTCTTATAATTAAATTAACATAAAAATATGAAAAATAAAATCATTAAAGACTTATATCTTGTTTGTGTGTTTAATGAAATATATTGATTTTGTATTTTGTTGACCTATATATGTTATTTGCAATAATTAACAGTTTTGTTGTTTCAATCTACTTGATTCTGTCTGAAAGACCTTCATGCAAAATGTTGAAATAAATCTCAATTACTGGCAGATGTTTAACAAGATTAGTGTTGCCAGGTGTCTGGCTTTTACGAAGGCGTAAAAGTATAGTAAAAATCTTTATTTTTATAGCTTAAAAGTTATTTTATGTATGTTTGTGTTCTGTTTAAATCTCTTATGCAATGTGAGCTCAGTAACTAACTAGTGACTCCACCTATAAAATCTACACTCACCTTAATCTCTAGTATTTTGTTAGATGTAATGCTTTTCCTCCTGATACCACTAGCAGATGATTGTGATAATTATCATGATCACCCTGCTACTGGTATCGTGTAGCCTAGTAATAACTGCTGATGCCCTGCTGTCTTGTAGGGTTTGCTTTTTTAGGCTAAGGCTGTTAGAAACAAACTTTGACATAAAAATCCCCTACCTTGGGACACTTGGTTGAGAAAAAGGCTAAAGATTGTGTTTTGATAAAAAATACTCATCTTAAGCAGATGAAAGCCTTCTACAAGATAGTAGCTGGATGCAGTCATCTGCATCCAACTACTGTCTTGTATAAAGTTTTCTAGGCAAAGACTTAAGGGATAAGCAAAATAATTCTGCTAATCAGCCTCAAATGCGTTCTTGTTACATTGTTTCCTGTCTAGGATGATGAATTCTAGATCTTCTTGACTCTACTCATCTATTTTTGCTTGTGCATGCTTAATAGTGGCTATGCAACATTTCCTGTTATTTTCTTATGATGATACAGCTCTAAAACTCAGTATAATGGTTCTTAGGCGGGCTGGTAGTAAGGTTTCCTGACCTCTATGGTCGCTCTCAAATAGTCACATGCTTAGAGGTTATGCTTGGAGGTATACATACGCATCAATTCACCTATTTTTTGTGAAATCACAGATTTGACTATTCTTTTATATGCTTCCGCTTAGCACCTCTTCACTCTATCACATTTCTGTTTGTTCTTTATCGTTTTCTTTCTTCTTAAGACTGTTCTTTTAGATGTAATTTCTGATCAAATAGACCTTGTACAAGGTTAAGTTTTAAAGTTATAGCCATTGAAAGTTTTCTAAGGTGTCCAAAGCAACAGCTACCACCAATAAGAGTAAAAATAAATAATTTATGTAGTAATTATTTTATAACAATGAAACTGCCATATGTTAATCAAAGAACTGTGTGTGGATGTAATATTCTAAATAAGAATAAGTAAAAAAATGTGTGTTTTGCAAAGTTACAACAGTAATGTAATTAACAAAATATTTAATATATTTAACTACATTATCAATAATATAAAACATGTATAACACATAAATCATACATATTTTGCATATTACTTAATGTTCTTGTTATAGATTTAAATACAATTATGACTTTTTTGAGCCAATATAATCCAAGGTTATTCTTTATGTTATACAGTCATCTGTTTTTACACATATCTACATAAGAGTTTTGAATAATTTATCTGCATAGTTTAAAATATATTATTAATATTTAAACATTTTATTAGCAAAGAATGTTCAAATTAAAAAAGTCTGTAGAAAATTATCAAAGTAATGTAAAGAATACAACATACAAAGAAACAGATTATGATGAATTGAAATTACTAGGACTTCAAGTAAAACCTCATGAATATCAAATATTTGGCATTAACTGGATTACAAGGTCTTTTTTATCAGCTAAACACTGTGGCAACATTTTAGGGGATGAAATGGGATTAGGAAAAACACTTCAGGTTTGCTTGCTTTTATTTTTTGTCTGCTATTTCCTTGATTCTAACCAAGTTTGAATAATATAAATTAAGGGAAAAAAGTATTAACAGAACTTCCAAGTTAATAAAATAATTAATCCAGATAATTATATGATATATATACAGTAGATTGGAATGAAAACAAAATTTTTCAGAAATCAGAGAGAAAAACAACTTTTCTCTCTGATTTTTATAATAGCTATAAGAAAGCTAAAAAACCGAAATGAGCAAAGTTAGACAAGAATTACCCTTTTTTTTTAAAATAGAATTTACAAAATGAAAACATATTAGGTAATAGGGTGGAATGAAAATAACTTTCTTTATAAATTCCATTTTTGCTTCCAAATTTCTATGAGTTATGAAAAAATAAAAAAATGAGACTATGAGGAGTAAAATTGGAAAATAATTACCCCCTGCAGCAATTTTTGGCAAAATTAGGCAAATTTTGAGAATTTTCCATATTTTTTAATACTGGGATACTTTCTCTTGATTGCAGGCAGACACACATCATACCATCTCTTTTTATTTTGCCAGAGAACGAGACAGAAACAATTGTCGCTATCTTTACACAACATTCTACAGTTTGCATGTGGTATGATAACTTTTCCAAAAGATTACTTAGTTGAATGCAATTCTCTTTTGCTTCTTTCATTTCTTCATCAGTGAGCTGCATTGTTAGTGATGGCTCTGTCTGCTGTGTATTTTCCAATCAATCAACTCCCATGTATTCTTTGCAATAAAATTGAGAGTTGGAACTTTGAATTGCCTCACTAGTTTGATTAGCATTCATACTTCTTACTTCTCTAACTCTCTGTATATGCCTAATGCCTAATTTTCGGATTTGTGGCTGCTTGTCTGATATCATTGTCAAAAGAATATTTTCTTGATGACCAAAGAATGCATTTTTTTGAATAACTCTATCTACTACCATACGTAATGCATCTAGCAGATACCGCGATTTGACTATTGTGCTGCATAGATGTTTGCTGCCATGAAAAATAGAAGACTCCTTCTTGATGATGAACAACATAAGGGCATAAACGCACATAATGTATGTTGCTATAGTTTCTAAATTTGATGAAGAAGGACTGTTGGTAGAAATATATAATTTAAGAATCCTGTTGGCAGTGGTGAGCCATCTAGAATGAGCCAGTTTTCCGGGGCTGCGCTTTTCCAGATTGAAGAACAAGTGCCACTTACTACAACTTGGCAGGTGTCAAAAAATGTAAAGCTGACCTGTACTGAACACTTTTCTGTCCACCTCTGGCATTTCTACATTATGGTTTATAGGTTAAAAGTCAACAACCTTTAAGGTCTCGCAAGTTTCAAGGGACAAACAAATGACGTAGTGGTAGCTTATTTGAATGTAACAAACAAATTACCCATTGTAGAGGCCATTTTAAATTTTAACCCAATCAATCTAATCGCACTGCCCTTGTTTTCAGTGTTTACATTTGTTTCATCCCACCCAAGCATTTGTAAATCTGTCAAAATGATATCGTGTTTTTTAGAGTACTTAAGAATTTGAGATTTTATAGCTTCAGCTGTTGCACTAAAAGGAACTGAATCAAGGATTTGGTTTTCTTTTGGTTAAAAAGTTTAAAGGTCTGGTCTTATTTGCCATCAAAATACAACGTCTTTACTTTGACTTCACAAACTTTCAAATTATCCCTGGCTTTCATGCGCTCACGTCTGATCATGCTCTGGTCAATAACATGTTTTTTGTCATCATTTGAAATAAAGCCAATATCTTCAAGTAAAGCTGATACTAAAGCTGCAGCAGATCTGTCTGAGAGTCCATGGCTGTCACAGACAAATGAGGCAAGCCCATTTGCTTTGAAGATGATAATGTTGGTGATGGAGTGTTTTCATCTATAGCATGTCGTTTTAAAGTACTGTGTGTGGCAGAAATGATAGAATCTAGTGGCACTGTATCATTAAAGTTTGAGCTCTATTTGTTTTGAGTATTCTGAAGTTTTGTAACTTCTTTGTCAATTGATCCAATACCCATTTTACGTTTAATACTTTTATTTTTTTACAAAAATGTGTGCTCCTTAGCTGATACCATATTAATTTTAGCACAGCAGCATTTTTTTATATCTTTGCATTGGCAAGCAGATACCTAGTTTACCTAGTTTGTCCTTATAGAGCTGAAAGTTATTATTTTTATTTTCTCTGTTTGTAATTGAAATTTTTTGCTGCTTTTTGCTCTGCTCAAACTGGTTATAAACTCTTTTTGATGTAAAGGATGACACAGTAGGTATGTTGCATTTTTCCCAAATTTTTAAGACCTGCATTGCTGTTGTAGATGCTTCACTCTTTTTGTTGGCTTTTCCAGGAAGTTTCTGTAAAGTTATATTACATATTTAATTTTAATAAATATATTATACATTAGTGGCTTTATTCAATTATAAATAACATTATTATTAAGCAAAATGTTCTTAGTAACATTTAAATGTATGGTTTGTATTGAAACTTCGATTACAGGATTGTTTTATTAAATTTTATGCATAATCTTCAATTTTTTAATTGAAATGTCTTTCTTTTAAAAAATTTCATAAACTTTTTTAACAGAAAAGTGATTATTTTGGTCATAATACTAATGGATAATTCAAACATACCTAATATGTTTTCATTTTGTAACTTCTACTTGAAAAAAAAAAAAAAAAATTGCCCTACCAATAAAGGGTTGTCCATGAAGTACATATGTGCATAGAGGGAAGGAGGAAGTTTTTAAAAAGTATACGAAAGCATATGGGGGTTAGGGAGAATTAAATATACAAGTACCTACTTCGATTTTCTAACAATTAAAAGCAATTAAAATGAGAAGACCTTGCAAAAAATTAGAATAGCGAAAGCCTGGGAACAAAAAAACCCTAAAATGCTTGCCCCACACCCCCACCCTGTTTATACATGAGGGCACTATTGTAGTAAAATTTTCAGTTTTACCATCTAAAACTAAGTTTAAATTTATCAACAGATTTTAAATTTTGTAGAAAAATATTATAAATATTGAAGGTTGTGACCATGCAAATTTTCCGAACACCCAAAATGAGGGGTGTGTAAATTTTACATGGTCATAACTTTTGTAATTTACTATATTTTTCTATGAAATTTAAAATCTATCGATAAATCTAAATTTAGTTTTAGATGATAAAGTTGAAAATTTTACTACATTAGTGCCCTTATGTATAAGGCTTTTTGTTCCCAGGCCGTTGCCATCCCAATTTTTTGTAAGGCCTCCTCATTTGGCATAGGTATAAATTATTATATTATATTTAAGTTTGGAGTTTGCACAATGCGTGAGCGGTGTCCTATCAGGACCATCAAAAAATCCTGCGGGAGCCCATGCACACATACCACCCCTTATATACTGGCCCTAAGTAAAACATATTTCAGGCAACCTATTTTTTGAGTAAACAAAAAACAGTTTTAGCAGCACCGTGGCTAATGGGTTGGAGGCCCTCCCAAAAAAATGTGTCATTAGGGTCTCAAAATCTTCCAGATTTTACCCCTATGTTTTGCTAAAATAAAAAGCTCCTTAAGCTAGCAAAAGAGCACACAATATGCTGCTTCTCTACCACCCCCCACCCCCCAAATTAAGGGGTATTGGTAGCCTACCCTTGGCACTGGAATTTAGGCTTTGTTTTCAATATTACTGATTTCGCGTAAGACTCGTTTTTTACAGACTTACTAAAGAGAGGTGCATGAAAAAAATGTCCTCCTAAGTATATTTTATTTTTATTTGATCCGTCATTAAAACAAAAAAAAGTTAATCCAATTTAACCGGGAATCCAGTTCTGGTCTCTGCTGGCGAAGTTCATAACATTAACCTCTCGGCCAAGCACACACATTGTTAATGTGAAATTTAACTTTATTAAAATTAATGTTTGTACATATTATATATATATATATATATATATATATATATATATATATATATATATATTTATTTATTTATTTATATATATATATATTTATATATATATATATATATATATATATTTATATATATATATATTTATTTATTTATATATATATATATATATATATTTATATATATATATATATATATATATATATATATATATATATATATATATATATATATATATATATATATATATATATATATATATATATATATATAAATTAACTAACATAAATCTGAAAAACTAAAACTCTAGTAGAAAATATTTTTAATTATGTTTTGTAATTAGGTTAAGGTTGAATAACTCATCGCTTTGGTTTGACAAGTTTCTAACTGATTTTTTTTTTTAAAATTAGGAGAATAGCAAATAAATGTTTTTTTATTTATTAATGTATTTTTATATATCAATCAAAAAAAGAATACATGAACAAATAAAAAATAATAATAATATAAATAATTTTAATAAAACATTAAAAAAAAATTTGGTTTGAATAATGAATGTCTGCACTCACCGCAGAGTTTTTTAAACATTTAAATTAATACAATAGGATGGGGTTTTCCCCTTCATATATAGGCTTTGGTGGTTATAAAAATGTTCACTGAAGCATGTTTTTGCTTTTTAATTGTATCGAGTTGGAATTAACTTGCATAATAAAATAAGTAATTAAATGAAGTATACAAATTTTCTACTTTAATTTGAAAATAAACAAAGTAAATATTTTCTTTAACAATAGGAAAATCAAATTTTATTAGTATTATTTATCACCAAATAACAAAAAAAAAAAAAAAAAAAAAAATGCAGTATTTTCTTTTTTTTAGATTTTATAAGCAACATGTGTTTAGTAAATATCAGGATCATTTTTAATTTTTTGTATCATACTAATTTGTAAAGTACATATATGTATGTTTTTTTTTGAAAAGAAAATAAATAATTTTTAATTAAAACAAAAAATAATACTAATATTGTGTTACATATCGATCGTATGATTTTATATGCGTATTTATATCATATATAAGATTTTAGCAATCTAGGCAACAGCGTGGCATTTTAGTG